TTGGTGGGTTGTCAGTAGGGTGTTGGTGGGTTGTCAGTAGGGTGTTGCTAGATTGTAAGTAGGATGTTAATATTGGTTTTTGGTTGGAGGTTTGTAGGTTGTTAGTAGGATAGTTTTTGGTTGCTGTAAAGCATATGACTACAAGGTGTTAGTTTCCAGCCAATCAGAGTGCATGTTTTTCTAGAGGATCGATGTTTTTTATGAAGGAGGGAGATGGGATTTCGTAGATAACCCATGCAGGACTGAACCCCCACTCTCCATTATTGCATAAAAAATGGCCCCTCCACTATTTTTTCCATACTTTTTATGGTAAAAGTGCTGTGCAACTTGAATTTTTCTTTATCCCTCCCCTACCCCCCCCCCCAGAATATTTATTGATCACCCCACAGATCCCACCAGCCCTCTTTCCCCAGTACAAAAATAAATGCTTCCTAAATTATTTTCTAAATAATCTTAATCACTTACATCTCCTTCTTTAGGGAAAAACTTAATTGTTGGGAAACTCTGGATCTTGACTCCTTCTACTTCATTAGCAGTAGAATCCATTTTGGCAATGACAATATCTTTGCTGTCCTTGAAGGTTTCACCTAGTTTGTCCCAGATTGGAGCAAGCTGCTTACAATGACCACACCATGGGGCATCTAAAAAAATAAGAATTTGTATATTGAATGCTACCCATCGCAAAATAGTACCGAAAGTCACAGAATATATTTTAGATTATTACTTTAAACATAATCAGAAACTATTATTACCAAATTTATGGGTAAAGATAGAATACAGTAACTGGAAATTACGGAGCCAGCCCGTAATCATATTGAAACATCCCATAGTCAGTTCTAACAAACTTAATGTCTTTGCTTATCCCTGATTACATATGAGAATTTTACAGCAAACCAACCATTCTTATGGAAAGTCTGACCTATGTTGCTGGAGAGGGGTACTGTAGATTTCATTTTTCTCATTAAAAATTACAGTCAGCAAGTACAGTTGAGCCGATATATAATAGATAACAAAGACTGGATTGCCGTATGTTTTTGCAGTCACTGACTCACTTTAATACTGCATTAGGTCTAAGAACAATATCCATTAGTCTTCTGAGAACAGAAAGTAGGGGCACTGGTCTATTTTTAAATTTTTCTCAAACATATGGAACCACCTGAGCAATGACATAAAAGAAGCCCCCACACTATCTTCCTTTAAGCGTCAAGTTTTAAGAGCTAGTCTTAAATATTGATTAATTCCTCTTCTTATATATGATATATAATATCTAATTAGTATTTTTACAAATTTCGCGCACGCTGATTGGTTATTTTTTATCATAAATAAGAGGACAGACAGATAAAGATGACGTCAACGAGCTTGCCCTCTTTCCGTTGGTTGTTTTGATTGCTAAAAGTGAGAAATTATTATTGTTTTTTTTATTGTAAAAAACAAATACACATCAGATTTTTATTTGTCTGTCCTCTTGTTGATAAATTTTGCCATCACATTGTCAAAGTAGTATGCAGATCCACTCGGCATGTTTGTTATATTTAGTATTTAAATTTTATATCAAGGTATCTTCCCCTCCCTCCAATAAAAACGTTCATGGTTACATTGGCTAGCTTAAGGCACAGTATGTTACTTACAGAATTCAACTAAAACATCCTTGGTCTTGTCTCTTGCAACCTCATCAAAGTTCTTACCCACGAGGACCTTGACTGGTTTGGCATCCCAGTCCTCAGGTACTTCTTGAGTGAGGAGGTGAGGCTGTCAAACCAAAAATCTTAGATTAGTCACCATCATCCCAGCAATATTAACCATAGGTAATGTTTATGTTATCCGCTATTTGGTGAACTATACTAATCAAAAGTACTTCAATAATAGGCCAGTTGAAGGAAATAATCACATGATTTACTGGATGGCTTCCTTTATTTTAAATAACTTTTGCTTGATTACTTATATCATATTCGAAACCTTTTTCAAAATACTTTTTTTTCCCTTATGAGATACTTTTGATTTCAAGATAAGAAGAATTTTGCCATCCAGCAGAAGCTTCCCTCAGAGACCTTTGGCTGAATTGATTTGATGGCAGAGTGATATACAGTATTAGCACCTGACTGCTTGTCGCAAACGGTCTATTGATACACTTCTTGCACTGATGCACTTTACTACACTGTGTATCGTCATGTCCTTGTTCTTATAGGGTAAGACGACTCAATAACCAGTGGCTAACAAACCTGTGGTCTTCGTTTCATGATTAAATTGAAATTTAGAAGGTGGTTTATGCAGAGGGAGGACATCCCAAGAGAAATCATCGAAGCATAGGACAGAACCGACTTCAACTCTACTCACTTAGGCACTGAGTCAGAGAATCAAACCTATGTTGATTGGTGAAAGGCAAGTGCTCATACCGATATGTGATATTTAATTGTGAATTCAAAACATTCTTACCTTGAGTTTTTTATCCAAAAAGTCTTGGACAAATTTAGAAGTAACTTCGGTGGTAATCTCTGGAGACTCTGGCTTAAACTTGGTCATATCATCATCAGCAAGGTTAATAAGACGAACTGTTGGAAGCTCTTTGGCTGTAATTCCGAAGAACTCCATGATACGAAGATTGTCCTCGACCTCACCGTTGACGAAAACGAAAAGTACTTTTCCCTTGAAACCTTTAGCTGCACCACTGAAGGCATCGTGGTTGGTTTTGAAATCATCAGATTTTTTGTTGGCAAAAAGAAGAATATGATGTTTAACTTCACCACCAAAGATCTTTGGAGCAGTCTAGATGGAAAACAATTTATTTAATTAGTTACTCACTGAATATACCAATATTTATGGAATACAAAATACGCCAGATGTCTCTGTACAGATATACAGTAGACATGCTGGGAGCTGTAGAGTAGTATTGAGCACTTTTTCCCTATTGCAATAGTATTGCAATATTTGTTCCAACAATTGAGATAGTATTGCGATAGTAGACTAGATATTGCAATAGTATTGCGATAGTGGAAACTTGCAGTTAATGTAATGTCTATTATAGAAAATAGAAATGCCTTTGTTTGTCGCTATGTTTTTCTTCAAGAGCGAGTAGAGGGCCCTGGGGATGAGGTTGGACTGAATTTTATGCTTCCCCCTCTAAGGGAAATCCTTGTTACCAGGCTC